ATTAGATGTTGATTGTTGAGTTCGCGATCAACCCGACCTAGGCTTGGCAAATGGGCATGATTTTTTTTGTTTTGGGCCATAATGGACAGATTCATATACAGCATATTTCGTAATTATCACAAAAATACTCATTTGAACCAATAAGTGTAGAGAATTAAACACCTTAAACATTATAGCTTAAGTTCAATCCTTAGGATGATGTATATAGAAAAAACATCATTAGAAGGGGTCTCCGTTACGGTGCTTGACAGTGCCCTAAAAGATTAGTCTCTTATCATTTGGGTAAAAGGATAATCTGGGAAAAAAAAAAAGCTCATTTGAACCACTTAGACTAATTTTAATCTTAGATGGTTCAAATTTAATTTAAATTTTTATATGTTTTAAATATTTTTTATTTTAATAGATACAAAATTTGAAATAAAAATAGTCTTATGACTAACACTTTTTAAAAAATATAAATTTATTATTAAAAGAACTTAAATTACCAGCATTAACATGGCAAATATTAACATATAATTTTGAAAAAAAAACATGATAAAAAATAAATAATTTAAATATGAAAATAAATAAATACATAAATGAAGGACAAAAATAATTTTGTAAATAAAAACAATGCATGATAAACAAGAAGTTTAATTTATTTTTCCTTCTAACTTTTTTGGGCTTCTCGGCGCCCGTGTCATGAGTTCAATCGGCAACACCCTCTGACCCATGTTCTTCCTTTTTTCTCTCTACACGCCTCCCATAATTTACGTTAAACAAAGGACACACGTTCTATTAAAAGTCAATGTCGGTTTCATCACAGTAATTTCATAAAATCTCAACCCTCAACTGTTCAAACTTAATATGAACAATCAAAATGTAATTTTATATTTTCTACGGCCCTATTTATAAGGTTCAAATTAGAGAAGAAGTATAGTCTATTTTATGAGCTTCACTTTAGATTCGTCTTAACATTTAATGTATTTTTTTAATATTATTCTTAATTATTTCAGAACTAGTTTCGGTACTCTAAATTTATTAGATTTGGATCATCCATATTTTATTTAAATGGTTTAGATTTGGTTTTTTATTTATTTATTCAAAAAAATTATTTTATTATGTATAGAATATAAAATAGAGATAATCTCTTAACCATCATTTTTTTCAAAAAATATTTTTTATTTAAAAATAATTAATTAAATATTTTTAATCTAGGCCGTTCAAATCAGATATACACATTTCAGATCTGATAAGTTTAGAGTACTCATCAAGGCGATGAGCACTGAAACTAGTTCCAATTATTTCTCTTTTGTCACATTTTTTTTACACATATTCTCTTTTATTTTTTTCTCATTTATTATAAGGCATATTTAGAAACAAAAGTATTTTTCTAACCTATTTATTATTTTAAACTAATTATTCATTATCTATGAATTAGTTATTTGAAACTTATAATAGGAATGGGAAGGAATATATTTTTGTTTTTTTAAAAATGTTTTCTGTTTAAAAGTTATTAGCTGGAAAATTTACACCCTTATACCATTAAAACTATATCTCAATGATGTAGATTTCACCGGTCCGTTCTATTATTGTTGTTTTCATGCTAAGCTAGGTCTCATCAACCATAGCTGCTTGCCATCCCCATAAGCATGCGTGTCCCAACTAAGAACTGATTTGGCAAGCAGCGTGTATCCCGCGAATCATGGCAATACTGCTTCAATCCATCGAATAACATCACCTTCACCATGTACCCTTCTACAAGAATGAACTGCATGCATGTATCCAATATCCAATATCCTTTTTAATTCTTCATTCAATCAGGGAATCCCATGTTCATACTTCCAGTTTGAGCCAACAATGAATCACGTCACAAGTTTGCAAAAGCTTCCTTCACAATTCAGAAGCAACCCACTTGATGATTTTTCCTCTATATAATGCAGGGCAAGTTTGGGACACCCCCATCATCATCAACTGTTTCTTCATATATTATTCGCAGGGAACATACGATATGGAGATCGCTAAAGGCAGTTCCATCCTGATTATCAGTCTGGTGTTGGTCTCAAGTTTGATCCAAGCCCAGGCCTATTATGCACTCTACTGTGGCCACAAAACCAGATGCTCTGGAAAGTACATCAGATGCCCATCCGAATGCCCAACCAGCGAATCCACTGATCCTCAGGCTAAGGTCTGCTTCATTGACTGTGACCAACCTGTTTGCAAGGCTGTCTGCAGAAGTAAGCTCTCTTTCATTTCGCAAGCTTACTTTTAAGATTCTATCTTGGTATCGAACACCCATCACTAGATTATTAGCTTAATTGATTTCATGTTTTGATGATTTAGAACGGAAACCCAACTGCAACGCACCAGGATCTGGATGCTACGATCCTCGATTCATCGGCGGAGATGGCAGGGTGTTCTACTTCCACGGAAAGAGCTTCGAACACTTCGCCTTGGTCTCGGACTCTGATCTCCAGATCAACGCCCGCTTCATCGGACACAGACCAGCCGGTCGAAGCCGAGACTATACTTGGATCCAAGCCCTCGGCATCCTGTCCAAGTCTCAGACTTTCTCTCTCGAAGCCAGCAAGACTGCACAGTGGAACGACGACGTCGACCATCTCAGGTTCACCTACAATGGCAATGATGTGGTCCTCCCAGAAGGCTCGCTCTCCAATGGAACTCTCCGAAACAAGACATCAAGGTGGAGAGAGTGGCTAATAAGAACAGCGTGATGGTGACAATCCAGGACGTGGCTGAAATCATGGTGAACGTGGTGCCGGTGACGAAGGAAGACGACAGGATTCACAACTACCAATTGCCTTCAGATGACTGCTTCGCCCACTTGGAAGTTCAGTTCAGGTTCACCAAGTTGTCTTCTGATGTTGACGGTGTGCTGGGAAAGACCTATAGGCCGGATTTTGAGAACCCTGCGAAGCCGGGAGTGGCTATGCCGGTGGTGGGTGGCGAGGACAAGTATAGAACTGCATCATTGCTTTCTGCAAGGTGTGAGTCATGCCTTTTTAAGAAAAAATATGAATAACGCCTTGAGAAAACAATAAAGTCCAGAGCTGGGTAAACGTCAAATATTGCGATCTCTTCTTACAAAATAATATTCAATGGTTGCTGTTTCTTTACTATTCGCACTACGTTGATGTAACTTTTCAATTTGATTTGTTATGTGAGAGTCATACTTTCACTGTATGAGTAAGAATTAAGTTTATTTGAATAAAATATTTCCATGTTTTTTTTATCATTTGGGCTTCCGGCTTCCGCATCTCTATGAATAGCCAATTCGAGATTATTGGCGCCAAACAATACGGAACCAGTTTCTTTCTTTTTATTAACCGAGCGCGCGTAGTCAGATATTCTATCCGTGTATGTATCATGTAGTGACAAAAAATAGAAATTAAAGCCTCCCGCATATCACTTCTTCTGTTCTACACATAAATAAAATTGATTTGTACAATAAAATTAAAATCTTTTTAAAGACGATATTATCTCCAGTCCTAATTATAAGAACTACTTGACTAATTTGATGATATTAAAGAAATAAGTTAAGTTAGTTATTTGTAATAAATAAGTATTATATTTTCTAAAATATTCTTGCTAATCAAATGTATTGGCCAGAACTACTATTATTAGAAGGACTACTTTGAAAAAAATACATAAATATGAAAGACAAAATGGATTGGGATTTTATATTTAAAATAAAAATAAAAATAAAATAAGGTCTTATATTAAGGACCGGAGGTAGTACTATTATTTTTATACTATATATATAATATGAAACAAAGAAAATTCAAAATACTCTCCCAATTAGGAATGGGATAGTTGGATGCTGAGTCTCTGTCACTAACAGTAATGGATTGTGTGGAATGCTCAATTTCAGTATAAAGTAAAATGCTTGAACTTTGTAATATAGGTATATTACGATGGGGGCATCTTGACCTAACTAATTATCACAATGTTTTTCTTTGAAAAAGAAAAAAATGAGCAAGCCTAAACCACTCTATTGCCCAATTTGGGGGGATCTGATGTGTTCGAGGTTCTCATTCTGCACTAAATAATGGAACGGTCAATATCTAAGGAACGACAAAAATAAATAGTAGAGGATATGGATAAATTATTTTCGGCATTGAAATATTCTTGATTTTTTTTTTTGATAAGATGTCCCTCGGAAAAGTCAAAGAAATATGTCACACCAAGTGTGGATTTTAGGCTGCATGCGAAAGGCATTCTTAAGGAATTTTTGAATTATCATCACAACTGTGTGTTATTTCTTTAAATAAAAGAAATTATTAAAATGCAAGCGGAGCTAATATTAATGGCATTAATTCATTAAAACAAGATAATGTGGCTAAATATGACTGGAATAAAATCCGGATATGATATGAAATGATTTCCATCAAATCACGTGATCAATAACAAGACAAAGGCTACCAAGCCATGCAATGCGACAAATTTTACTGGAGACGGGTAGCAGAGAAATTCATTAATTGACTATTTAAAGATCAAACTAACGTTCTAATTAATCCACGGGATAAAATATATATCTATGAGCTTGCTTGCAATATTTATATTCGTACCGTTATTCCAAACAAACATTATACAAGTCTGTTTTAACCATCTCATACAGATAAAATAAATTTATAATATTAAATACTTAACAAATTTGTAAAAAATTTTAAATATATATTTAATAAAATTTAATATATACTGCGTTGATTATAATGAATTAATTACTTATAAAGTTTATTTTGTTGTTATTTAACTTACGGAAAGAACTCACGCATTTACATAGGGGCAAACAAAGCAACATCTTGTGTTTAAGCAGAATTTAAGAATGTCTTAAGTATCAGTATCAGTTAAGTTAAAATAGATCTAACTAACTACTTAGAAAGTTTTACTGCACAGAAGAATAGAAAAATAAACATTAAATACCCTAAATATTAGTAAATTGAATTTATATTTTCAATCAAGCTAAGGTGGGAGAAAAGGAGTTATATCGTAGATTGGAGGAGCGTTTTATTTATGAAAAAGAACAAAAGGACTAAACTGATGCAGAGAATAGAGGGACTGAGCCAGGCTCAAGATGATCAAGCACCATTTAAGAGATATTTTTGCAGGCAGCTAAGGTAGAATAAAGTAGGCTCCGCTGACTTCAAATCTTCCTTCTCAGATTCATAACTTATCTTCACGTTGACTTCGGTTTGATCCTCACCTTTTGCACATAGCTGAAAGGTCGTCTTGTAGAACGAGAAACCACGATCCAGATGGCCACCTTCAATCACTTCTAACCCTATCTCATGTGAACTCAAATCAAGCTCTGTAATTCTCTCCTTCTGATAACTTCCTTCTGATGCATCAGTAAAATTAAACAACTATCAGCACTTAAAGATCAGAATCAATGAACGAACTTGATTGATTCAGAGGGTTTTGATCACTCACCGGAGCAGAAGTTGAAGACGAGGATGGTGCCGAGGCCTCCGTCTCCTTCCAGCACTTGCACATCTTTTACAATCTGCGGGAGTACCTTTGGGGCTATGACAATGAAGTCCTTAGACAGAGCTCGCCATAAGATTTGCAGCCCCACGCTCACTACTGTTTGGGTCTTGAACTCTTTCACCATCTTGGTGTTTCTTATCGCACGACTTAGAGATTTGTTGGGGGCATATATACAGGAATTAGGAGCTATAGCGCATACCTCGCGTGGCATGCGATGTAGGCTCTGATCAAGTTTGAAAAGATTCCCTTTTTGTCGGTTTCTCGAAGTCCTCCCATATAGAATATGTACTCTAGATTTAAATCAACACGCTCTCACCCAATGATTCCGCCCCATAATACTGTCCCACGCGACAAATTTTGGTCTATCTATCGCTAATAGCATCTACCACCTTCGCCTTTAATTATATAGTAATATAATAAAAAATCGCAGTTATTACCAACTAGTACACTTATCTTAATATTTATTGGGAGCTAGACAGCTGATTCTTTTACTGGCCATAAAACGACTGACAGAGAGATGCAGAGAAAAAAATATAGGGGGCAGCGCACCAGCCCCGACAAGATAGTGGAATTGAATTCAATGGTAAGGATAATGTTTGGAAAAGATAGAAAACGAGGGGAAAGCGGACAATATTAAAAAGGTGGATCGAAGACTGACGGAGTCTTGTGAAGAAAAAGATATATATATATATATATGTATGAGAGAGAGAGAGAGAGGATTACTTTTATACAACAAGTTCAATTGATGTATTAGTGTACGTACTTTCGTCATCAACTACGTTATAATTGTATGGAAAATTGCAGGAGTATATCAACGTGGAGAGATAATAAAGTGAATTTCCTTCAATAATCGGAGCGGGCAATGAAATAAAAATCAGGGAGCGGCGTGACTCGAGTATCAATATAGACTTCTTTTAATATATCCGCATCCTAATCATCTCTTTTCACTTTTTCTTTCTCCTTCTTTGGGGGGCTCTACTTTTTCTTTCAATAATCATGAGAAGCGATCTGGATCTATGATCTCGCAAGCCACACAGGAGCATGGAAGCTTCAAATCGAGCAAATTAAAGCTTCCAAGCTTCAGGATCGACCTCTGGTTCTGGAGATTCGGTAGTATTTTCGCTGAAGCAGAAGCTCCTGGATCTTTTCTTAACGCTGCCATTATTCAACTCCAATCAAGTTTCAAAAAATCTTGAATTCTTGATCTGTAGCATACGCATTGGCGCGTGATCCACTTTTTTTAATATAGTAGCTAGGTATCAGTTGGATTCCACCTTTCAATCTCCAAACTAATTTTTGAAATTAGCAAATGAACCGATGCTTCCTCTTCAGAGACAAACTCCGAATTGAACACACAAACAAACAAACCCAAAAAAAAAAAAAACAAGTAGGTGGGATATTGGAGTATAGAGAGAAACAAAAGTGAATTCCTTCTCGAGAGCTCACTTACAGATTCATGCTAGCTACATATAATGATCCAGAGAACATACTGATCGAACACTCCCCTATATTAGGCTCGGGATTTCATCTATTTCTATATATTATCCAGTACGTACACACACAAAACAAAGCAAGACGAAATGGCCAATGTATTCAAGCACCATTGAGCAGATATTTTTCCAGCTTCTTGAAGAAGCTTAAATAAGTAGATTCCGCTGCCTTAATTTGCTCGCTGATTTCTTCACTTTCAGATTCATAATAAATCTTCACATTGACCAGAGTTTGATCCTCTGATGGTTTTGCAGATAGCTGAAACATTGTCTTGAAGTAGGAGAAACCTCGATTCAGATAGCCACCTTCAACCACCTCGATCCCAATCTCATGTGAAACCACGTCAAGTTCTGAAATTCTCTCTTTCTGATAACCTACAGTGGATGCACCTGTACGTAGTGAACAACTCATCAGTGCAAGAAAATTAGCATCAATTAAAGATCAGAATCAACTTCATTTCACAGCATGCATTTTGCTGGTTATACTGACGGGGACAAAGAGTGAAGAGAAGGATTGTGCCGACGCCTCCATCTCCTTCAATCACTTGAACGTCTTTGACAAGCTGAGGGTTTACGTTTGGAGCAATGGTTGCCAAATCCTTGGACAGAGCTTGCCATAGCGTTTCCAACTCAACGCTCACTGCCGTTTGTGTCTTAAATTCTTTCGCCATCGCCTTCCTTTTTCTCGCGAGTTTTAACTTTTAACTTACTTGCTTTCGTGTGTGTATATATTGGCCCTGATATATATATATATATATTGCTCTTGGAGAGTTTTTTTTTTTTTTGGGTAGAGTTTAATGATATAAATTATATCTTAGTCATTATTTTTTTGAGAAAATATTTATACCATTAATGGTGGTGATTTTCCCCTTAAATTATTTGAGGTGTGCTTTGGATTTTAAGTAGATCGGAGGAAACAAATTTCAATGAATATGAATATACATCCAGTCTCAATATACATTTTAAACGTGTTCTAAAGAAGAAAAATTATTAATTGCGCTTGAGATGTGAGTGATATGAAATCATCAGTACGTCACCAATATGAAAATAAATTAATTATTGGTCAAAGAATCAGAAAACATATCCAAAGTAATTAATACTCACCGTCTCACTCATTAAGAATATAAATAATCGCGAATCTCCGATCTCCAAATATGGATCGTTAGCCAAAAACGTCGTCGATGAAGCATCAATGTATCTTTTTCTTTTCCTTTTTACCTCAGCGCATCGTTTATTTTAGTTTGATAAAACTTAAGAGTTATGGTTAGTGTATTCTTTTGATGCATCTAATACCTTAAGTCCCGTTTGGTACGAATCTAAAAATAATAGAGGGATTGGGATTGAAATTAAAAGTATATTAAAAAGCTGTTTAGTATGAGTAATTGTATGATATTTAGGATTAGACAAATCCATATATGAGATTGAAGAAACATGAGAGGAGATGGTATTATCCAATCCTATCTATATCGGATTGCCTGATTCCATGTGATAAGAAATCACTCATGCTAAGCGTCCTTTTTAAATATGTTTTCAACCCCAATCCTAATTCTTATCTCTTATTTTTAATATTCCAGACCAAACATAACCTAAAGGATTTTGTGATGCATCCAACACCCTGAAATTTTTTTAGGTGTGTCCTATACCGTGAAAGTTTTTTATGCACCAAGCATCTCCAACTATTTTTTTTAGGTACATCAAGCATCTAAAAATACTTTCTGGTACATTCATGACTAAGACAAAAAAAATTATTTTCAAGATACCGAACGTATCTAAAAAATATTTTGGGATGTTAGAAAATATTCCAGAATGTTGCATCCAGCTTAACCGTAAAACTTATTAAAAGTGCTTGGTTATCAATAGGATAAGAGAATGCTAACCAAACCGTGCATCTTCGTGGAGGTGCTTCCTTGTTATGCGTGACAATCAGAGTCAAGAGCATTAAATTAAATTAAGGATCATAACTCATCATAATCAAATGCAACGCCCAGTGGGCAAACAAATTAGGACTCCTACAATACATGACCACGGAATAAAGCACGTGGCAGAAAGTCTAATGAACGCTAGTTCCCCCAAAAAAAAAATGCCGGAAAAACATAAAATTTACTTTATCATTAGGCAATTCAAAAATTAATATTGTTAAAATACATTACATATTACTCTCGTAGGCTCACTTCCAACATATTTCACATACATAAAAAAAATATTAAACTTTATTAACTCTCATTTAAAATTTAACAACTTTTTAACTTTATATCTATTTAATATACAGAATACCTCATGTAACAACACAATAATAAATAAAAAGTAAAATTGTATATTCATACAATTTTTTTTATATCCTATAAACAAAACTAAAAAAAAATCTTCTCTCTGTCTTATAAATAGAACTAAAAGGGTATTTCCGAGTATACAATATCCATGTTCATTGTCAGTTAAACTTGTCCTCTCAACTGAGCCGCGTGATTGTCATGACTCATGTCTAGATTTTTCCCCCAAGAAAAACAATGTTAAGTCTATAATGACTTCTAATCACACCGGTGGGTATCATTTTAAAAAATTAATTACAACAAAAGTATAAGCAATGGACTCGTTTAATTTTTAGTACTGAATTTATTCATGAGTTAAATATCAACGCCATTTCCAAGGTAAAAGAGAATAGCAAGGGAACATATTAAACGAAGTTTTTCAAAGCGCATCACAAGTGAAAATAAGAGAAGGCTTTATCGAGCTGTAAGGTGAAAAGGGAATTTTATTATCGGGAGGCAGGTGACATATTATATCATTTATTTGGGCATGAAACTGAAGGGAGATTCATCAGAAGAAATGGGTGATCGTCTTGACGATAACGATCTAGGCGGCGGCGCCGGAGAGACGCTTCTCAAGGCCGCTTAAGAAGTTCAAAGCAGAAGACACAGCGGTCTTGGTAAGGCGGTCGGTGGATTCTTCATCAATATAAGATTTATAACTGATCTTCACGTCCACCTCAGTCTGATTCTCTCCTTTTGCAGATAGCTGAAGGTTTGTCTTCATGTAGGAGAAGCCACGATCCATAAACCCACCTTCGACGTACTCAAACGCAATCTCATGTTTGGTGGCGTCAAGCTCTGAAAGTTTCTCCTTATAACTCGCCCCAGCTGATCCAGCTGTAAGTGGAATATGATTAAGCAAGACAATTAGTATTATTAGTTAAATGTCAGAATTAAAAGCTTAATTCACTCTCACAGAAATCAATGGTGTTTTTCTACTGACGTAATATGGACCAAGGAGTGGTGAGAATGACGGTGCCGACGCCTCCATCTCCTTCAATAACTTGCATCTCTTTGATCTGCTCTGGCACTATCTCTGGAGCTATGGCCGCAAAATCCTTGGGACTGGACAGAACTTGCCACAGTTTTTCCAGCCCAACGCTCACTTCTGTTTGTGCCTTGATTTCATTCACCATCTTGCCTTTGTTTTGTCTCTGAGGTTTCTGAGACGTTCGTATTTATAGGATGTTGGCCCCCCCGCCTGTTTAAGAAGCTAATAACTTTGATGGTTTTAAATTATATTATATTTTTATTCTAGAATTAAATAGTAGTTATGAGTTATGAATTTGACTTGTTGGTGGATGTTCATGACCTCCCAATGCTCAATAAATATAATTATGACTTTCATGAGGCATTGTATAATTAATTACCCCATTCATGAACATGAGGTATTGAGTGTAGGAACATTCATGGGTATCAAATACATTAAAATTAATTGATTTTGGGAAATGTACATCATAATGTCTCTAGAGATTCAATGTCATTAATTTATGTATTACACCCTTTGGTCCTTATTATAAGAATTGATCCATATTTTTCAAAAACACCCATTGAAGCTTATAAAATAAAACACAACTCCTCTCAAATTTGAAACTTATAAATAGAACTGGAACAATGGCATACAAAAATTGTAATGAATGATAATTAAGACACGCATATGAATTGGAATAAATGAGATTATGAGGAGACTTCTCCTCCATCTGATCCCCCCTCTAAAATTGTCTTTTGCTCTTACATTATTGCTTATATTTTTCATTAGCCCTTACGTCTCTTTTATGAGAAACAATCTCTCAAAGTGATGTCTCTAAATATAAAAAATAAATTTTTCGTCTGAAATTTTAAATTGATCTTTTTATTTTATTTCTATTAAATATATGACACTTATTAATTATCTCTCTGCAATAAATTTTCACTCATGATCCCTAATGTATTTTGTTTACAAATAAGAGTATAATTGGGCCAAAAAAACACATAAATTTTACATGTTTATTATTTTCAATTAAACTTAATTAACATTTTGAACATGATGATTATAATAGTTGTTTTTTATAATTAAAAAAAAAGAGGTAGCAGTTTTATACGATGTTGGCCCCACGCCTTTTAAGAAAATAAAGCTTTACTTATTTTAAATTGAATTAAATTTTTTTATTTCTGAATAAAAATGGTTAGCACAAAGTGGTGTGGATAATTTTATCCCTAAACTATTTCTTGTGGAGTTACAGGGCTTGATGGCATGCTATGCCTCCAATTTTGGGGAGGCCATTCTTTTGATTCCGCGTGTGTATGGGGAGTCCTTCCTACGGGAAAGGTAAGGGCGTGTGTAAGGGCAAAACAATGACAGGTTTTTTTTTTTTTTTGGGACTGAATGACAGGTTTGTTTTAATTATTTTATTGGCAGGTAGGTAATGATATGTGATTGGGAGAAGAAATGATAGAGCGATGATAATAGGCTGAAGCTGCTTTCCATGAAAAATTTCATTTAAGGATTCAATCATCTGCCTTAAAGATTTTCTCCATAAATACTAATAATAATAATAATTAATAAATCAATATTTTGTTAATTATAAGTTGTCTCAGTAACAGCGATATCTGTTATGCTTGGATAAATTCCGAGCATTTTTCATAGGCAACTTTATATATCACATGTAACTATAAGGCAGATGACAAGAACATGATAAACACTGAAGATTGAGCACTACGACTTGGTTGGGGTACTGCCGTACTGGCATGCGTTTTGCCTCTCCCAAAACCATGTTCTGACCCAAACTTCTACCACAACGTGGTTTATTGGGGAAAGAGAGGAAACGACATCGCAAACGTGCAATTCGTCTTTTGAAGCATGGACCTTTCCCGTGGTCTCCCACGCAGCTTTTTGTTTTTTGAAGAAAAAGTGAGGACCCAATTAGATGAAACGGGCCAAAACAATGGGCCGGTTTCGTGGGCCTGTACGATTATCTAGGAATTGCTACAGTTTTTTTTTTGACCAGCGGAATTGCTACAGATTGAACACTTTAGCCAATAAACATTCTTTTGTTGAATGGAAACATCCAGAGGCAATAACGATTTGTGTCCACACTCCACAGGATTAAAAAGTCTAGCAAAAAGCCCAAAATTACAAACCTCTTGCAGTGTGACCAACCTAATCAACTTTTGAATTTTCATTGAAGAATATTTATATTTAGTATTTCGAATAGAATTTTTTTAATAAAAATATTTGTGTGCTAACAAAAAAATAACTTGTTTGTTGAAAGAAAAAATTTGAAAAAAAATTGCTTGATCCATATGCCCCAATTCATTGGGTGTGGTTATTCCATGGATTTCACGTATTTAGAATTAGAATTTTTCCAAAAATACGCCATTTAAATTTTTGTGCAAATGCGGCTTAGCATTTACATGCAGCCATAGTCATGCAGGGCAAATATAATCAATATATTGTTTTTGAAAAAAAAATGAAACACGTACGGGATTCAATATATTTAATAGGAAGGCATAAAATTAAGGGGGGAAAAACAGGTGAATGAAAGACTGGCTATGACTTTAATTTACACACAATATAGGTATATTTATATTATGCTTCATGAAATTTCGAACCGAACTGGTACAACAGGGAAGGCTAATAATGTACATGGATTCTCACAACGCAAAGCAAGAAATTTGACTCCGTGCGTCCAGGGGGCTTCGTGTGCCATTGCCACCCATGTCTTGTGACTTCAATTCTCAACGTTCACTCAGCCCCATGTTCTTTTTCCCTCTATACGCCTCCCATATTCTATTCCTTCAGTTTGTGTGCGCGCGCTTCCCTTTCTACATTAAACAAATTCTATTATTGTTGTTTTCTTCCTAAGGCATCGTCGGCTTTGGGCTGCTTCCCGCTTTGCCATCCCCATAAGCGTCCTTGTATCCACCTTAGAACTAATTTATTTGCTGTGTTTCTCCCAGATATGCTGCCAAAACTTTCGCACTTCAATCCAAATATCAGAAACCACCTTCATGTACCCTTCTGTTAACAAGAAACTGTATGAACCATATTTATTTCTTCATTCATGCGGCAAACCCATGTTCATACTTCGAGTTTGAGCCGACACTAGATTACATCACAAGTTTGCAAAAGGCCCCTTCATAATTCTGAAGCGACCCACTGCGTGACACGTCTATATAATGCAGTCTCAGTTTGGGTCGTTGCATCATCAGCTGTTTCCTCAGACTCTATTGACAGAGAACGCGATATGGAGATAGTTAAAGGCAGTTCCATCTTGATTATCAGTCTGGTGTTGGTCTCAAGTTTGATCCAAGCCCAGGCCTATTATGCACTTTACTGTGGTCACACAACCAGATGCTCCGGAAAGTACATCCGATGCCCTTCTGAATGCCCAAGCAGTGAATCAAATGATCCTAAGGCTAAGGTTTGCTTCATTGACTGTGACAAACCTGTTTGCAAGGCTGTCTGCAGAAGTAAGCTTTCTTTCATTGCGCAAGCTTGCTTTTAAGATTTTATCATGATCGAACACTCGTCACTAGATTGTTAGCTTAATTGATTTCATGTTTTGATGTTTTAGAACGGAAACCCAACTGCAACGCACCAGGATCTGGATGCTACGATCCTCGATTCATAGGCGGGGACGGCAGAGTGTTCTACTTCCATGGGAAGAGCAACCAACACTTCGCCCTGGTCTCCGACTCCGACCTCCAGATCAACGCCCGCTTCATCGGACACAGACCTGCCGGCCGAAGCCGAGACTACACTTGGATCCAAGCCCTCGGCATCATCTCCAAGTCTCAGACTTTCTCTCTCGAAGCCAGCAAGACCGCACAATGGAACGACGACGTCGACCTTCTCAGGTTCAGCCACAATGGCAACGATGTTGTCCTGCCAGAAGGCTCGCTCTCCAAGTGGAACTCTCCAGAACAAGACATCAAGGTGGAGAGAGTGGCGAATAAGAACACCGTGATGGTCACCATAAAGGACGTGGCTGAAATTCTGGTGAACGTGGTGCCGGTGACAAAGGAAGACGACAGGATTCACAACTACCAACTGCCTTCAGATGACTGCTTTGCCCACTTGGAAGTTCAGTTCAGGTTCACGAAGCTGTCTTCTGATGTTGAGGGTGTGCTTGGAAGGACTTATAGGCCGGATTTTGAGAACCCGGCAAAGCCTGGAGTGGCCATGCCAGTGGTTGGCGGCGAAGATAAGTATAGAACTGCATCCTTGCTTTCTGCAAGCTGTGGGTCATGCCTTTTCTCGCAGGAAAACTCATGGACTGAGAAGAAAGCTGAGAGTTCAGTGGCAGAGCATGCAACTCTTGACTGCACCAAGTTCTCCTATGGTCTTGGAATTGTCTGCAAGAAATGAATAATGCCATGAGAAAACAATAAAGTCCGAAGCTGGGTAAACGCCAAATAATATTAACGCGATCTCTTTGTTACAAAATAATATTCAATGGTTACGTTGCTGCTTCTTTACTGTTCGCCCTGCGTTAATGTGACTGTTCAATTTGATTTGTTATGTTAGAGTCATACTCTCAATGTATAAGTATGAATTAAATTTGTTTGAATAAACTATTTGCATGTGTTTTATCATATGGACTTCTGCTTCTCTGTGAATTGTTTCGAATAAGATATGGGGGAAAAAAAACTAAAGTAATGTTTATTTGATAGCCAATTTAAAATTAAAATCAAGGGCATGTTTTATAAGATCTACCTCTTGAACGGAGCTTAAATTTAAATATATATTATCTCTCATCCTATAAAACAAAGTTAACTAATTTATATGGATTATTAATATAAGAGTTAGATAACTAATTTTAAAATATTTAAAAAATTAATTAATTAATTGTTTATAACAAATACATGTTGACTTTTAAATTATCATATCTAATTACGTGCATTTAAACTACTTTTTGTTAGGAAACCTTTAAAGTTAATAAGGATATTTTAAAAAGAAAATTACAAATTTAGCATACAAAATAAATTAAAATATTATATTTAAGATAATATTTAATTTTTATATGAAGAACCGAAGATAATGGCTGATGTCGCCCAATCTAGAAGTGAGCACATGTCAGTTCAGTTTCTTGCCCATTGCTCAAACTGATCGATCCAACAACACGTTATTACGTGGATCGATTTGACCTGAACC